CATCTCTCCTTGATGCTCACAGCACACCTCTTTCCCTTTGCAGCTGGTCTGAAAACACCATATGGCCACAGGGCGTCCTGGTGCGGCACAGCCGATGCCTATACAAGGCAGTTGGGCCTTACAACGTTGCGGTGCCTTCGGATGTCTCCCATGCCCGCTTTTATGCAAGTACCTGGTTTCTTGCCATTTGATGGGGGTAGTAGGGGGAGGTGTTGGAGCAGCTGAGGGGTGGGCACAGCTGTAACAACAAATTAAGGCTTGAACCAGTCTGAAGACTGGGCAGAAGACTTCATCTGGAGTTGTTAGGCCCAGCAGAGCTAAAGAGACTAATGTGGCCCTGCCCTTTCCCTCAGCACCCTATAGGAAGCATCTGCACTGCCCAAAGAGGTGCCTCATAGTGAAGAAGTTGGGTGTATTTGCAAAGCAGTGCTGTGCTAGCATGGATATGCTGCTTCCATGATCTGTGCTTGGCAGAGCCCTGCATTGGTCTGTGCCAGTGTCTCCCAGAGCTTTGTCCAGGATGCATTGCAACCACTAGCCCCACAGCTCCTGGTAGGTTACATGCATGTGTTCCCCAGGTGTGTGATGCTGGAGCTTCTAACTTCACCGCCAATCTAAAAGTTGGTGTGGTGAGAGGATTTAAGGTGGCTGAACTCTTGTTTGTGTGTGCTCAAAAGGCCCCATGTCCCTTCCTGTTAAGAACAGATGCCTTCTCACCCTGCCTGCCCTCCTTTGCTGTCTGATGCTTCTTTGATAAGGGTAGCTAGACCCCTGGCTGCTCTGTAGGCACTACATTTTCCCATGAATGAGCTCCAGTGGCCTGGGGGCAGCTGCTACTACACTGAAAATGGGAAAACAGAACTTAAAAGGCTGCTCTGGTACTTTGAGGGGGGTGCAGGATAAGTCAGTAAGCAAGGGCTGCAGGGGAGCCATTGTGGTGTCTGACTCCAGGCTAGGACAAGGGCTTGCATTCAGTCATTTGGCAGGTCGCAGTGCAATGCCGGGGCAGTGAAGAGGCCAAGTCCCAAGTAGGCTCAGTTGTTGGCAGCTTTGCCAGAGGTGGGAACAGGTCAGAAAGAGCTGGCTCCCCTGTCTCAGCCAGGGAGGGAAGGGAATGGGTTCTTGGTGCCGGTGATTTTTCTGCTGCTAGCAAAGGGCATGTGCTGAGCCAAGGGACTTCCCAGCACCAAGGTCACCTCTCAGCTGTGCAAAGTCCTCCAGGAAGGATACTGATCTGTGCTGAGTAACCTGTTCCTTTTGTCCAGGCACAACTGAGGCAGTAGGTTGTTTGCCCCATTCCCTTAAGATGCCCAAATGCTGTGGTTAAAATGCAATTTGAGTGTTGCTGCTGAAACAACACACACAAGCATTGATTTGGTTTTTCCCCCACCTTTAACTGTCCCATTGCAGTTCCTCTTTCACCGTCCGTTACGGCTACTCAACCTGCTGATCCTCATCGAAGGCAGTGTGGTCTGCTACCAGCTGTACTCACTGTTGCGCTCGGAGAAGTGGAACCATACACTCTCCATGGCTCTCATCCTCTTCTGCAACTACTACGTCTTATTTAAGCTCCTCCGGGACCGGATAGTATTAGGCAGAGCATATTCATACCCTCTCAACAGCTATGGACTCAAGGCACATTAACCTGCCACTGGCACCTTGGGGTAGGGAGGGGACCTCAGAAAAAAATATTTTCGTACAGTTCTATTTTTTTTCTTGCAATGTTTATAAATATTTAAAATATTTTATATTTTGTATACTATTGTTTTGTGGAGTGGGAAAGGGAGCAAGTGACAATTAAATGTCGCTTTATAAACAAGGTGTTATTTTATATATATATTATACATACACACATATATATATAGATATATATATATATAAAATCTGTGTATATACTGCATATCTATATCCATACATATATCAATGTGAAGCAACAGGATTGCGTGTGTGGTCACTATGTATGCCTTGCTCACACAGTCATTGAGGTTGGGGGGGGGGGTAGGGGGGGGTGATGCAGGAGGCAGCTTGCCATAAGAAGGGAATTTGTCTCTTGCTGTGGAGAGGAGGTGACTAATTGCCAAGGGGAAATGTACAGAACTCCCAGAAGCGCTGCTCTCTGTGAACACCCACCCTGGGCCTCTAGAGGAATACCATGTTCTGAAATGCTGCACCTCTGAGAGGTAAGATGTCCTGTGTTCTGATCAGCTGAAGCTGGTAGCATATTAACAATTATTAACAAAGACTTATTCTTCCCTTTTCTTCCTGGGGCAGAAAGGATGAGAGTATGTCCAGAGGTGTGTTTGGGTGGTAGCAGCTGTTTTTTATTGTTTAATGCAGAGCAGGTCCTCTTAGTCAGTAGGCTACACTCAGCCCAGCTCACAGGGAGGGCAGTGCCACTCAGGAAGCCCACTCTCCTCTTAGCTTAAGCATTTCAGCTTCTCAGTATGGGGGCATAAAAAGGTCAGTCTCCTGCTGTACCAGGCTGCCCTTCCCATGCATGAGTGTCCAAACAAGTTTTCCCATTCCCTCTTCTCCCCTCCCCTTAATTCCTGCTGCAACTAAGAATAGTTCTCTCAAAGAAAGAGACAAATTGTTTATTTAACTGAAAATGCAACTGTAACTGTACCAAAGCAGTGCACTTAAGTAATATCGCCCAGGAGCCTTCTGAACAAGCCAACATGCTGGTGGCTTCTTTATAAAGGGGCTTCTTCACAGCAATCTATACATTAATCCTAAATCAGAAACAAGTGCTGCTTTTTTTGGTATATATTTGGAACGCTTAGCTGTGCAAAACAGTTACTAGAGCTTGATCCTAATAGCTGAGCCTAGGTACTTTCAGTAAAAAACTAGGATGCATCCTTAAAAAAAAAAAAGTGTGGAAACACATGACTGGTTGCTGGGGGGAGCAGGAACTGGTACTGTATAGGAACATACAGGAGAACAGAGAAGGGGTTGGGAGGAGGGGTGGCATTGTGTAAGTGCTATGGGATAACCCTGTGCCTAGGATTGCTTCTACTTAAAAATGAAAGGCATAAGATACATGTGTATTTCCAAGAAATTTAGATCCAGCTGCCTTTCCTGTTCTGGTTAATGTGAGGCTGGTAATTCTCAACCAGAGTTACAATGGATTTTTAAATGCTCTTAAAGTAATAATGGAGCAAGTTTATGACCCCAGGAGTTACACTGAAAAAAGGGAGAGTTCACCATCATTGTGACAGTTACCAAACATGATACCCAAACAGCTTAGGGCCATATTTTAAAAAGGGAACTTGGGCACCTACCATACTAGGAAACAGATGCTCAAGTACTTTTCAAAAGCTGGACCCTTCTCTCTTCAGGCAGAAAATCATAACACCAAATTTGGTTTATTGCCAGAACAAGTGGCTGAACTAAGCCTTGCACCCCTCCTTGTGAGCAAGTTACAGCAATTCACATACTGAAACCAAAAAAGATACAAATTTCCTGTTATAGAAGAAATAAAGGGGCAAGCAGAAACAAGAGACAGAAGATATGCTTACATGGGGTCTCACTCCTTGCATCTCAGAGAAGCACAGGGAAAAGAACAAGTTATAAAGCAAACACAGCTGCCTCAGGCCCCTCTAGTGAGACAAAGTGCTGCCACTGGAGACCTGAAGGTTTTCTTGTAGCCTGTGGCATTAAAGACCTTTCTAATGCCCAGTTCCTGTATAGAAAAAGGAGCAGCAAGTGCAGATTTCAAGGCAATTTACTTTGCTTTTTTTGAAGCAATACAGGATGGCACCTCTTCTCCCAGCCTAGTACCATTTTTGGAGTTTCCCCCCAGCAAAATTCGTTGGCAGAAGCAGGTACGGGGAAGGGAAGAGAGATGGCTTGCTCTATTGCTTCTCTCGCACTGCTGTAGTTAAAGTGTACCTGCATGTTGGTTTCTGATGGTCCTGCACATCTAGCTGCAGCACTCCCCATGCAGTGCTAAGAGCCACACTTCAGTTCTACCGGCCAGTTCCCTCCCTTGTGAATAAAAGTTACAGCGTGTGGATGGTCCCCCTAAAACTGAAGTTGATGTGTCAAGTCACAGAAGCAGCCAAGGATCTCTCAGAAAACAGAGAAGACATGCCTAAATACATCTTACTCCTTTTTTTGGAGTATGTATAGAGGAGAAGCCTGCCCCTTTGTTATAAAGCAAATACACATAAGATTGGATATCTGCCCAGAGGAAATATTTTTTTTACCCAGGTTTGACCCAGCTGAGCTAACACAGCTGGGACCACTGCTGCTCTTCAGACTCAACACTGTCACACTATTACCATCAAGGAGGGCTAGGTCTGAGGCCAAAAGCAATATAGCTTCCTCCTAACTGGTCCTCCAACAAGGGGCAGAGGGGTGCTTTTTTAAAGGTACTGTAGCGATTATTTTCAGCCCTTGACACTAGATGGATTCTCTCTATTCAAGCAGAGCAATGCTCCCAACAGGCACTAAAAGAGAATGAGCTAGATGTCCCCTATGTTAGCCTGTGCCCTCTCCGCAGATACTTCAGTCTCATTTCCAGTGTGATGGGCACAGATGTCACAGCAGACTTTCATCAGCTGTTGAGCCAAGGAGAAAGCAGCCCCAGTACCCAAACCTTGTTGGGAGGGGGGCTCCCACACCAATGGCACAGTGAAGAGACCCAGAACCCAGGTGGAATTACATGTATGATCTAGGAGCAGGAATAGGGAAGCAGAGAATACCCCTGGTTGGTCCTGTTAGCCTAATCCCTGGAGCCTTGCTTTACTGCAGAAACAAGGATGGGCCCTGCTCCTGCCTATCAGCCCTAGATTTATACACAGACTGCTGTCTGTTCAGCACCCTCATACCCCAGAGCAGAACTTGGATAGGAAAGTTCCACAATGCACCCCACCCTACTGCAGCCCCTTGTTCACATCCCCTGTGAAAGCAGAAACTCCCCCCCCCCACCCTTTTTCCTCCACTCCCATTAACACTAGACCAGGGAAAGCAAAGCCTCTCCCATTCTGGTCCTACAGTTAGGCAAAGGCATCGTAATAAATGGCTGGCTTCCTGGTCGTGCCTCGGAACTGCTCCAGCTTCAGCCCCACACGGAGAAGAACTGCCTCGTCCCACCACTTTGCCATGACCTGCAAGAGGGAGATGCCATCAGTCAGTCACCATGTGTAGGGCCTTCAAGCACTGTTAGGCACAGAGGGCAGGGCTTCTCCAGCTGGAACAGCCCAGACCTGACCAAGGCTATGTGGGGTCTAGCAAATGCCTACTTGGCACTCTGAGACAGAATTGTGGAAGCCACTAGGACTGTGGGGAGAAGCAGGGGTGCTAGGGAAATCCACTAGTGTAGAAAGGGGCATAAAAAAAAAATCCTCTAATACAACAGCTGGTTATCCTCTGCTGGGTCCAGCTGGCTCCAGGGGCCAGCTAAGAAAGCCCTGGAGAAGAGAGAGTGGGTTTGTGGGAGCAGGCCTGACCCCAAGCACTGCAGATTTGCATTGGAGGGCCCCCATCCACAGCCTGGCTCTGCTCTCAGCACCATTCCCTGTGGGCTGGATTCTGAGGCCT